TGATAGTATATATCTAGTAAAATATTAAGCAATAAAGCATTGAAAATAATATATATAATATTATGTGATTATGATTGTTTGTCTTATTCTTTATTAGTTGTTTTTTTTTTTTAGATACTAATAATAACAGGTTGCTTTTCTGAATACACTGAACTTTGGATGAAAAACAGTTACTGACAAAAATAAAGAAAAAAAAAAACAAAAATTAAGTGTTAAAAATATTTGTAGGCTGTAGTGTAGATATTTAAATGGTTGCTTGAGATTTTATAATATGTACCACAGTACAAGTGACAAGGGTCGAGATATGATAAAATTATAAGTACAGTTACTTGGGTACGGATACAAAATTAATTTACCGATGTCTAGGTATATAATAATATGTATTATGTACATTAGTAACTGATTGTTCAGTGTAAGTATCAATAACTAATCAGAACGTAATAAGTTAAATAGCGAGTGAAGCTAGTGGCTTTATGATAGTTGAATTTACAATATAATCATTTAGCTGCTCATTATTTTGCTCTAACTTAGTGGGTGGTGGTGGTGGTAACAAATTTTTAAACTTTGCCCCATCAAATGAAATACAAGTCGGCGCCACTGAGCACGACCACCGACGGCGGCAGCTTCTTATCAAACGGATCGAACATTAACTATTAGGTGTTTAGTATAATTAATAACTATGTCTTCGCCAAACACTGATAATACAGTATTKAATAGAAAACGTAGTAATGTATGGTACCTACTATTACTCTGTCTTACAAAATAACATTGCAAAATGTAATGTTTGTTCAGACAAATTAAGTTTTAGTGGAGGATCTACTGGAAATTTGTTGAGACATTTGAAAACCAAGCATCCAACAATTCCGATGCAGAGAAACGTCCAAGTAAAATATGCATTATATTAATATAAAACCAGTTTGACTATTAAAAGCCTATAAGTACTAGATCACATGTGTAAAAGATTTAAGTAAAAAGTACCTATTTTAATATTAGTATTCAATTTGTTTTTCTTACTTGTTGCTGTGAGCACTATTTAAATTCTTTTAAATTATAAGTAACTTAAGTACCTTTATATTTTAAACTTGCCTTATTATTTTAATAGGAATCAAAATATAAAATGTTGCCGTTTATTTCTATATTATAAAATCAGACTATGTAGTTGTATTATTATAGTTTATACTTAATTTCATTATATAGATCAATGTTTAAAAACATGATGTTATTGTAGTGTGATATCAACAATCATATTGTGTTATTGACATGATATACAAACTATTTAGGCACATAAATTATAATAATATTAACGATAAATTTGAATAAAAAATTATTATATAATACAATTAATATAAAGAATAACAATAAAAATTCAAGAATTTCAAAACTATTTTAAATATTTTAAAATTATTTGAGTAATATTTTAAATACTTTTAAAAAACTTTTTTTACAATCTTATAATGATGTTAACTATTATAAAATGTAGTACACATACAAATTAAATCAACCAACCTTTCAATGTTTAAAAATTAAAATAGGTAATAATATTTCTAAATTATAGGTAAATGAATCAAACTCTGATATTATTAATGATCCAAAATCCTCAACATCGACGACTCAAAATTCATCTGGACAACAACCATCTTCAGTAGCAACAACATCAACAACAATTATTAGACTACATAACAAGCAACAAGTCTCTATTTCAAGCTATATCCAAAAGCCAATACCTATGAGTAAATCAAAAATGATTGATCARCAATTAGTAAAAATGATTGTGAAGGAATATCATCCTTTTAGTGTGGCCGAGGATATAGAATTTCGTAATCTTATTAAAATGTTATGTCCAACTTAYGTTATTCCATCAAGAAAAACAGTAACCCAAAGTTTGATGCCTCAAATGTTTGATATGACTGTTGAATGTGTGAAGGATACATTAAGAAATGTGGAAGCTGTGTGTTTGACTACAGATGGGTGGACATCTAGAAGTAACCAAAGCTTTATATCAGTAACAGCACACTATATTGACCCAAAAAACGAGACACTTGTTTCATCAGTATTATTAGGCTGTATTGATTTTGATGAAAAACATACAAGTGATAATTTGGCTCGTTTTTTAAGAAACATTGTTGATGAATGGAATTTATCAAATAAACTTACTGCTGTAGTTACTGATAATGCTGCTAATATTAAAGCAGCAATTAGAAAATGCAACTGGAGATGGTTATCTTGCTTTGCACATTCCATAAATTTAACCGTTCAATCTAGCTTTAAATGCATAGAGGACTAACGAACAGTATAAAACTTTCAATGACGAAGTTAGGYTAAGGTCCTTTGACAATCTCATTATTACACCCAACATTCTTAGAGCTTTGCAACAAGCCATTTCAATGTGAAGGCCCGGGTCAAGGTTACTTGAGAGTTTGAACCCAAGATCCATCGTAAATTCATCACAGCGAGAAATTATTGAATCATGAATATGGTAGGCATAGGCGTGCGCAGGACATTTTTGCTGAGGGTGCATAGTAAAAATAGATTGAACATTTCAGTATGTCACCTAGCCACATAACAATTCGGGTCAGGATTAATAAAAAAAAAAAAATTAATAATAATTGTATACATTATATAATTTAATTATAATTCAATACAGTATTCGTAATTACATAATAACTATAATTCTATAGTTCAAGACGACGTGTACCTGGGTACATAGACTTGAATTCATCAATTATATCGTCT